ATGCTATATTTTTTTATACATAATATGATAGTGTATGTTAAGACGAGTCCAACAAGGTGCGAACAAAGTCGTTTCCTGTCATGGACTGTGGTAAAATTGTGAGAAATCGGGAGCCGGACCACCATACGTCCCTCACTGTCGCATGCGTCTGTTTTATCTCAGTACAGTGAAATATCTTTTAAGGTAGGCATTTTTATAATATATTTAAAAATTTTGCTAAAAACTAGGATTAGACACCCTATCGTTAAAAATAGAAATAGAAATTATAACTAACAATTAAATGTAAATCATTAAAATTAAAAAATGTGGCTGCCTTATATTCTTATTAGGAAAACTTGTATCTTAATGGATGATCCACGATAAGATAAACTTAAGTAACCATTTATGCAAGATTCTTTATTAATAATTATAATTTAAATATTTCGGCGTTTAAACTTAACCGGTACTGTATTTTCCTCGTCGTTCTGGAAGGAAAATTCATTTAGAGAATTTTGAAGGGAGTGAAGAAGAAGAGCGTAAGCTGGATTCCGGAGAACTCTCCCATCCAAGGTCCTGAAGAGACAAAATATGTCAGGGATGTTCATTTTTGTTAACCTGACAGTCCATAAAACTCTTCTTATTATTAGCACAGAGTGAAGAAATTCGCAGTAACATCAAAGAAGGCAACGAAAGCTATCGAATGACATACATATGAGCTACTTAGAAGCCAAAATGATCGACACTTTGAAATTCTTCTTTGCTTGTAGCAAGGGGTCTTCCTACTGTGACGACTGAAAAAGACTTAATTTTTCGGGAATTTAAAACAAAGCAAGTGCTACGCGTATCCTTTTGCAAATTTGTGTGATTATTCTGTCATCTTTTAAGAACACGAAAATATTTTTCATAAGTGAAAATATCCGTTTGTTGTGGAATAGGACCACCGTGAAGAGAGCGCCTTGAAGAGTATCCTTCCCGATGGCTGACACGATATCAGACGTTGTACTTATCCAAAATACAAACTGCAAATATATTCTTAATCTGTAGACGTGTGGCTATCGACTGAACTAGAATAATAAAAGAATATTGAGAAGCAAAGAAATGGCAAGGTTTCAAAGAAATTTCTTTCGATTTTAACAAAAACAATGATGGTTTTTTTGACCGCAAAGACTGAATTTTGAAAATATTCGCACAATTCTAGTTCAGACGATAAAGCAACATCTACTAAATATACCTGACAAATTTCGAGCAGATCGGACTTCTGGTTTTTCGATAACCATGTCAGCCAGTTTCGAGAAAAACGCGTTTAAAGTTTCAACTACAGTTTAAGACTGTACCAAACCGCTTCCTTTGAAGGCATACATCTCTGCCAATTTTGAGAATTAACCTTTGAAAGTTAGTGGTCATATTCTCGAGATGTGAAACTATAAGAAAATGCAAAAAAAAAAAAAAAAATTGATTTTTTCAACCCGTCACAGTAGGAAGACCCCTTAAATGACCTCCACGTTTGCATTTGGTGGAGTAAATACGATAAACCAAATTATCGATGATTCTGGTATCTAAACCAGGTCGTATCTCATCAATAACACGAATGACGTTTGCTTCGAGATCAACAGTTTGTGGTTTGTTGGAATAAACGAGAGACTTAACATAGCCCCACAAAAAAAAAGTCTAATGGCATCGAGTCGCGAGATCTTGGTGGCCTGTTGACAGCTGCATTTCGATCTCAATAAACTGATAGTTTCAGCAGAAGTGTGGCATGTGTATCTATCCACGATGACTTGCTAAGCACTACTGAGTCTTCATAAATAGAAAGAATTAATAAACCTAATCCGACGGAGTTAATCACTCTAGCTTCTGTGTGACTCGTGTATCGCATAGTCGATAAGCAAATGTTGCGAATTTCCTTCAATATCTCAATATTTTCATTTCTCGCCGAATTCTCAGTGCATCTTAACGTAGAGAAAAAAAAATCCAGGGATCAGAGGCGAATTCTTTGCCCTTGTTCGATGCAGCATACAGTGAAACCAGTTGCGCTTTCCTCTCTCACCTTATTCAGTATCAGGATGTGGAATAGAATCGTGCATCTTCCACCAGAATTACGAGAGACGGACGATGATTTAACTTTAACGAATCCTGCTCGATCGGATTTCTTTATAAACCGAGTGGAACTTCGACTATGAAACGAATGCAATGATTCGTTGTGCCAACTGTGCGTGGAACGATCCTGGTATTCAGATGAGAATTGAAGGTCTTTCCTCAGAAATTTCTCTGTTTATCGATGAAAGCGAACAACGAATCATCTTAAGGGAGACCTTTGCGATTCGACGAAAATCGATTTAAATTTGAACAATTCCGTAACGCTTCGTTCGATTTACTGTAATTTTGTTTACTGATTCTATCATTTTTCGTGTAAAAAAATGTATCACTCCTTTTTTTTTTAATTTGCAAATAATGTGTAATTTAATATTCTATGATTATTATTACTATTATTAATTACAAAAGTACCTTTCTTGATAATTGCAATGGAATGACGCACAAGATAATGAAATAATGTTAAAACAATATTGATAAAAACGAAAGAAACGACAGTTTATACAAATGATTATGTTTCGTGCTTAGTAGGTACCTAATTTCTAATTTGTTGCAGTAATACTAAAATGTTACTCCCACAATAATTCTATACATGCTTAGATCCTGAATATATCAGGTCGTACAACAAGTTTGTGTCGAATTTTACAATTTAGATCAATATTTTCAACGAAAATCTCCTTCTCATTCCATCGTTGTGCAACTTTTCCTATTTTGCTTTAGTAAGACAATTATGTCATCGCTGTTTCCTTGAATTTTCATTAAAATACTTTTTGCTTTCGACACGAACTTATGGGATGACATAATATATTCTTCACTTACTTTTTCAGTAAAAGATTTTGAACCGTACACTTTAGATGCAATTTTATATTTTAATCACAAGTTTTTCTCTACAGCAAGGGATGGTGTGTACTTTTAATCCAAGCACGTTGGTGATTTTCAAATAAGCGATTTTTGCAGATCACATCCGAACAGTAGTGAAATCTGTAGAAAAGTAACAAGACGCAGTTGTACGGTGATAACACAAACGCAAACATTTATTGCAACTAGGGCTATTACTTTTAACCGGGTAGATGAAAATAACCCGATCGACCCGGGTATCTCACGAGTACTCGAATATGTACATGAAACAGTCGAAATCTCGGTGGCCACTACCGCTGGTGGTTCCCCGGGCAAACAAATGCGGATCGGTCGCGATAGCGATGAAACGATGCCGACGTGTCAAAGTGCACCTGTACCCTTTACACAACCAGCGGCCGTAGCCGTGCATGGCTACAGGTTCCCATTCGATCACCGAAGTCAAGATGCACTGGGCGGCGACTGTAAGAAGATGGGTAACCGCTCCACATCCGTCTCTGGAAGCCGTGGTGCTGCTGGTTTTTTCGGGCTGAAATTTCACACAGACGTTAGTTCCACCTTGACCAACGTCTAGAAATTGAAAAAAAAAGTCCAAGAGTAAAAATCCTATATCGCCAAGTTGGGGTTTTCAAGCAGGGTCGGGCGTCCTCCTCGCTCATTCTCCGGCTTGTTCTGTCGGTTGGTGGCTTCGATAGAGAGTAGAAACTGGCCTGATAGAGGTATTAAGCGTAAGCTTGGGGACTCTGAGTCCTTCTTAGGACGGTCGACACTAATTGTACCCTACACAATATTGTTTGAAACCTCTGCCGAAACAGTCGAGGAATAATAGATATCTACTCTCAGCTATCTCATCTCAAGAGATACCTGGATAATTTCTGTTTACCCGGGTACTTTCTGATTACCCGAGTATCTCTTAATTAACAGCTCTAATTGCAACGAAGGTTCCATTACACGAAATATAAAGCGTGCAACGCGCGACTCTCTCCAAGAACAATTGAATAGTCAACCGAGGCGTTCCACGAGACGCCGCAGACCTTCTGGGCACCCGCGCGTCGGTAACCTAGAGAACTTCCTCTAGTCTAACAACAAAGAAAACGAATTCCAAGGAACGTTGTTTGTTTGTAAGTAGTCAAGGACATTTATAAAAAGTGTTTTATTTGTATACAATTTTGTACACTGTTGTATTATTTATCTACACTGCTAATTTTGTGCAAAAGTTTCCCACTTTCTTCTATTTCTTCATCAAATTACAACCTCAAGCAGTGGAAATTTTCAATTCACATCTTTCTTTAGTCCATTCTCCGCTAATCATACAAAGTACATTCCACGTAGACATTTTGGCCAGATATTGCGAGCAAAAATTGCCAAATTTTGAATAACTCCGAATGAAACTCGACACTATTTCTTTTTCTTAGATATAAGCAATAGATCATAGAATGCGATATTCTTCATTTTTATAAAATCCCAACAACTAACAAAAATGAAGAAGACAATATCGGCGTCCACTCATACCAAACAGATGGTCACTATGTCATTCTCCTATATACACCACTTACCCATTTCTCGAAACACTCCACCAATTTTCAAATAACTAAACTTGGCAAAACTGAAAAACAGAACAATCCGACTACATATAAGAAGAAGAATCGTGTTAAAAAAAGAACAAAAACAGAACACGTTCTCCTCTCAAAGAGACCTGTTGGCAGTCGAATTTGTAAGCCTCCTACGACGCTGTGTATATAAACAATCGTCCATTCTCAAAACTTCATTTCCCTTTTGGACCGGCTCACGATCCTTTAAGCCACTTCCTAAAAAAGCTTCATAGTCCCATTGGATGGACGACGACGAGGACGAGGACGACGTAATACGTAGGTCGGTGGTTGAGCGGTAAAAAAGCATCGGGCAAACGGAGATCGGCAGATAACAGCGATACCGAATCGGACAGGAGGCCGAACGGAAACGAAGAACGGAGCGGATGATCCCGGGCGGTGGCCGAGAGAAAACGAGAATCTCGTGGATGGCAGGTAGGAGGAAGAGGGGGGGCGAGAGCAGCTAGTGGTTCAGAGGCTGTGTCAATGTGTCAGAGAGACGGTCTCCATGCCGGGGTTGCCTTTTATGTCCACGTAATGTGGGACCCGGGGGAACTCCTGAGTGAAAGAAGTGGGGCCTCTACCACCATCTTTGCTCGGCCTAACCACCGGCTTTGTCACCCTTTTCTCCTCGAGCGCCGATCCTGGGAACATGACAGCACGAGATTTTACCTTCGTCCACGTGGCCCCAGCTATATTTACGAGCGTAGAGCAATATTGCTCTTTCTCTTCAACCTTTCGTTCTGGCCTCGGCCGTTTTCGTGCTGAATTTTAACGCGGGAATTTTTGCTCGGTTTTCTTGGTACAGGTCGCGTGTGTGTCGGTGAAGTTGCTCTCGAGATAGTTTATTGTTTAGATTGTGAACTAATGTACAGGGTGAACCGTGTAACGTGATTGTTTGAAGTTATTACGCGTCGTATAATATGGTTCAAAGAGACACTTTGGATGATTATGGTATAGTTTTCTTGGTTGTTCCTTTTTCGAAATTTTTAAGGTTGCTCTCAGTTTGTTGTTGATAAGTGTAGATATTTTGTTTGTCATCTACGCGAGCGTGTTGTAACTGGTGAGCTCTGTTTTGAACATCGTTTCAGCGTGGCGTAAGGAAATTAATAGATTTATCTACGAAAAACTGAAGTGATGTTGAAAACGTAAAGAAGAAAATTGACGAAAAGTATACATACTGTGATCATGTTAAAAGTCTCTTGGAAACATATTATGCGACCTAACAGAAATTTGGATCAGTCTACTAACAATAGAATGATTCAAAATGGTTCACCCTGTATATTAATTTACACTACCGGCCAAAAGTTTGGAATCATCTCCTACTTTTCATCAATATTAAATCTGCTGCTAATTTTTTATAGATTTGAAGTTTATCTCAATTCTACATTAATCAAGTTATCTCATATCAATTGATTCGAATGATAAAAAATTCTCAAAGTCGCTGACTTTTTTCTGGAAATTTTTGTGTAAATTGCAATGCTCAGTGATTCCAAACTTTTGATTCCAAACTAGATCTAGAACAAATGACTTAATTTAGTAAAAAAAATCCTCTATTCGTTATATTATCACTTATGCAATGTAAATTACTCGTCATAAAATAGAAACGAGCTCTTTTCTACATTCAGTGTGTTTCGAACTGACGAAACGACATTGGAACAAATCTGCTTATAAAGGATGACTGCGAGCTTCGGTACGTTTCTTCAAAGAGTAGCATACACGTACGAAAATTCTTTAAGAGGCGTTCTTTAAGTTTACTTTAAATGCTTTAATGCCGGGTTTAAGTTCGCCGGAATGATCAATAGAAGTTGAATACTAACTTCCTTAAATAACTCCAATGAAAAAGTATCTAATGCCGAGTCCACACTGGCCAGAACAGTTCGCGAGCAGAAGCAGCATCGTATCCTCAGTGACGAGTTCACTGCTCAAGAAAATGTCTACACTGCCGGCGAACATTGTTCGCGATTTGTTCGTGGAACATGATCGCCGGCAATGTGGACGATTCGGCGAACTGCGAGCAGATTACAGCGAACTCGTTTGCGAGCAGCGAACATGTTCGCTCGGAAGGATGTACATTAACCCTTTGCGCTCCTTTGCCGAGTGTGACTCGACATCAATTTTATTCACAGGTACTCCTATGTCGAGTCGCATTCGACATTTTTTAAGTGCCAGTTTGAACGGTGCTGTAGTCGTAAAATCAGCAGAAGGTAAGGTAAAGGTACCGGTAGTTGACCAGCTTTTAGAAAAACGTAAAAAATAAGGTTTTTATAAGTGATTCTCTTTTGAAAAAAATGCACCTGACATGCCAAGACATCTATCGATTAAATTTCAAAACAATTACATGTGAAATGAAGTATGCGTAGTAACAACGGACGTCTAAATCCATTAAGGTAAGTAATATGCCTCTATATTGCTATTTTCTTAACGTTTCTGTTAAGGTAAACAAATCCATACGTTGTGAACTCTTCGTGACTGAATTATTTATTTTTTAAATTCTCACAGCGTTTTATAAGCGATAAATGCAACATTTTTGTTATTCTAACCACAAAAAGCAATAGTTTATTGGGGGGGTCAAATTCTGAATCTTGTTATTCTAATAGTTTTAGAAGTTTACCGGGGTGGTCAATTACTGACGTGAGTTATTTAAATTTCTTTACGATTTATAATGTATCCATTTTGCATTTAACTTTGTTAAAAGTACAAAATATAGTTCTAAATTTCGTAGCATACTGCGTTTTAGTGGATGACCGCATGGTCAACTATTGACCGATCCACGGTCAATTATTGACTCCGTCCAGTGTCCACTTTTTTAAAATAACCATGTGCGTGATATTATAAACACCACCGGAAAATTAAAATGTATTTTCTTAATTATTTATTTTAGAAATATATTTATTTATTTTTTTTATTTTTTTTTATTTATTTTTATTTTTATTTCATCCATGGAAATGTACGGGCGATTATGGAAGTGGCCAGAGAAGCCTGATGTGCTGGACTATGAGTGGAA